GAGATGGGGCCAGGCTGTTCTTGAACTCCTGATTTCGTGATCCACCAGTTCAGCCTCCCAAAGTGCTGGGATTACATGCTCAGTGAGCTACCATGCCCAATATATCTTTTTTTATTTTTATTTTATTATTTTTTTTTTAGCACCTGCTATGTGCTAGGCATGGCCCTGGGCACTGAGAAAATGACAGGGAAAAAGCTAGAAACCTGCTCATCCTTCTGAGCCCTGGGTCTGTGTGACAAGGCATGAGTGAGCCAGGTGGATTGCACAGTGTACGGCCTGCTGAACAGCCCCTCTATCAGTTCTCATCAAACTCGACTCAACCAGTACTGGATGAATGAATGAGTGAATGAATGAACGAACCAATGTCTTTACTTCACTCATTACTGGATCCCCCGTGCCTGCAGAGGGCTGACACATGATAGATACTTAGCATATTTCTGCAGAACAATTGGACCTAAAACCCAGTGCCTGGTCCCACAGAGGAGTTCAGGGCTTACATTTAGATCCAAGTTCAAATCCCAGCAGTGCCACTCATGTGACTCAGTCCATCCCCTGCTCCCTGCTCCCTGCTCCACGTGGGGAAATTGAGGACGGTGCTAGTGCCCCGACACAGCCTACTGTGATGAGATCACCAATGCCAGGAAATATCAGGGAAGGGGGGTTGCTGGCCTCGGGGGTTGCTGGCCTCAGAGCCTGCAGAGTTAAGCCTCCCCTACCACCCCCACCACCACCCCATGTCACATGGCTGGTGGCCCTTCCTGCCAGGACAAAAGGCCCGATTTAATCCAGCCCACCATCACCACTGTCGCCATTGGGACACAATGCAGCAGGTTTGTGGCCAACGTCTGCCGATCAGGTTTCAGGTAACATCCCTGCCAGGCTACCCCGGCCCGGCAGACAAAGACCTCTTTGTTGCAAATACATTTTTTAAATCCCTGAAGATATTAGCAGTTCAGGGGAACTCACACTGTGAAACAGTTCAGAAATTGTTGAAGGAACATGTTTCAAACTGGGGGGTGATCATTTAAATGGAATCTGCCCTCCTGCTTTCTTATCGAGAGCAAGATTTCTCAGGGCCAGCTTGAGCCCCGGGAGGGGGAGTTTCCAAGGCCACATAACCCTAACACTCGTCATAACAATGCCAGCAGCCATCTATGGAGTTCGAGAGGCCGGGCACCAACCAGCTTGTGCGTTTGTGCATGTGACCGCCAAACCTCAGCATTTAGAGAGATTCAGATGGGCAGTCCCATTCTGCAGATGGAAAACCTGAGGTTTAGGGAGGTGTTGGCGCACGTCACAGCTGGCCTTGAAGCAGGTTTGTTGGATCCTCCACGCTGCCCCCCGTGTGCCCTCTTCATGCTGGTAGGGCCACAGGCATGGAACACATGCTCACCTCAGAACTCCGTCCCATCAGGCACCCAGGAAGGCGTCCGACGGCCACCCGGTCCCATCACACCCTGTTCCTTCAAGATTACACAAGAACACCTCCTCCAACACATCTCTCCACCTACTTCTCTGTCACCTGGGCTGAGCACAGGGGCCAAAATGATGGCTCGCTGAAGCCTCAACTTTCCCAGGCTCAAATGATCCTCCCACCTCAGCCTCTCGAGTAGCTGGGACTACAGGCACACACCAACGCACCCAGCTAATTTCTGTATTTTTTTGTAGAGTTTCACCATCTTCAACAGGGTTTCATCACGTTACCCAGGCTCGTCCACTGACTATTCTCACCTCCTCTGTGCAACTCCGTTATTCGCAGACTGTGCCGTAAACTTGAGGTTTTAATAAATAACCGCTCTTCAGAGCTGTGTTGGGGCCTAGCCTAGGCGTGTATTTCCGTCCCCCTCAGAACCAGGAGACCACCAGGTCAATGAACTCAGGTGCAAGTCAGAAATGCCAGCTCTACCTTAATTTTCACAAACTGTGACCAAGGGCAAGTTAAAAGTTAATTTGGGTATATCAATAAGTTAAACTTAGAATTACCCATAGGCCCCAGCAATTCATTCCTAGATATAAACACAAGAGAATTAAAAACAGGTCTTTGAACAAAATTTGAGCACACGTGTTTATAGCAGCATTATTCATAATACCCAAAAGGTGGACACGATATAAATGTCCATCAGCTGATGAATGAATGAACGAAATATGATTCATGTATCTATGCAACAGAATATTATTCAGCCATAAAAAGGAATGAAGTCCTGGGCTGGGCATGGTAGCTCACACCTGTAATCCCAGTACTTTGGGAGGTTGAGGCAGGTAGATCACGAGGTCAGAAGCATGAGACCAACCTCGCCAACATAGTGAAACCCCATCTCTACTAAAAATACCAAAAATTAGCCGGGCGTGGTGGCGGGCACATGTAATCCCAGCTACCTGGGAGGCTGAGGCAGGAGGATTGCTTGAACCCAGGAGGCAGAGGTTACAGTGAGCTGAGATCACGCCACTGCACTCCAGCCTGGTGACAGAGTGAGACTTTGTCTCAAAAACAAACAAAAATAAAAAATAAAAAACAAAAAACAAAAATTAGTCAGGCATGATGGCACACATGCCTGTAGTCCCAGCTACTCTGGAGGCTGAGGCAGGAGGATGGCTTGAACCTGGGAGACGGAGGTTACAGTGAGCTGAGATCGTGCCACTGCACACCAGCATAGGTGACAAAACAAGACTCTGTCTAAAATAAAATAAAATGGTTAAAATGATAATTTTATGTTATGTACAATTTTTAAAAACCGCATGTCTCTCCCCTTTCAGGCAAGAGGTGGTGTGGGATAAGACAGGCCATCAGAAGACACAGGTCCCTTAGCTGAGCTCTGCTTACCGTGCTGGGCACCCTCGGGCAGGTTAGCACACCTTTCTGAACACTATTGTCCTCTGTGCCCTGGGACTATGGCCCTTGGCCCTGCAGACCTCACAGGCTCAGGGGAGGCTCATGCAGGGGAGGCCACAGGGTACACCAAAGAATGCTACAAGGCTAGAATCATGTAAAGGAATAGCACCATGACAGTGAGAGCATACAGGAATACAGCATGATGTCATTTTGGGTATTTGTCCCTACTCGAATCTCATGTTGAACCGTAATCCTCGGTGTTGGAGGTGGGGCCTGGAGGGAGGTGTTTGGGTCATGGGAGTGGATCCCTCATGGCTTGGTGCTGTTCTCCAGATACTGAATGAGTTCTCTTGAGATCTGGTTGTTGTAAAGCGCAGTCCTCCCCCAACCCCACTCTCTTGCTCCTGTTCTCATCCAGGGATGGAGGGGCAAGCTCCCACTTGGACTTCTGCCATGATTGGAAGCTTCCAGAGACTCCCCCGAAGCAGATGCTGGAGTTATCTGTGTTTCCTATGTAACCTGTATAACTGTAAGCCAATTAAACTATTTTCTTGTAAATTGCTTGGTCTCAGGTACCTCCTTTTTTCTTTTTTCTTTTTTCTTTTTTTTTTTTTGAGACGGAGTTTCGTTCTTGTTACCCAGACTGGAGTAACAAGATCGTGCAATAGCACGATCTCAGCTCACCGCAACCTCCACCTTCTGGGTTCAAGCAACTCTCCTGCCTCAGCCTCCTGAGTAGCTGGGACTACAGGCACGCACCACCATGCCCAGCTAATTTTTGTATTTTTAGTAGAGACGGGGTTTCACCTCGTTGACCAGGATGATCTTGATCTCTTGACCTTGTGATCCACCCACCTCGGCCTCCCAAAGTGCTGAGATTATAGGTGTGAGCCACCGTGCCCAGCCTCCTTTTTTCTTTTTCTTTTTAGATGAGATCTCAATCTTTCACCCGGGCTGGAATGCAGTGGCACCATCTCAGCTCACTGCCACCTCCTTCTCCCAGAATCAGGTGATCCTCCCACCTCAGCCTCCCAAGCAGCTGGGACTACAGGTGTGCACCACCACACCAGCTAATTTTTGTATGTTTTCGTATGGACCAGATTTTGCCATGTTTCCCTGGCTGGTCTCAAACTCCTGACCTCAAGCAATCTGCCCACCTTGGCCTCTCAAAGTGCTGGGATTACAGGTGTAAGTGACTGCACCCAGCCAGGTATTTCTTTCTAGCAATACAAGAACGGTTTAACTCAGAACGCTTGGGCTCCATCCTGACAGCTAAACATCCCTTACATTGGCCAAGGTGTCCTCCCTTTTCCAGAGGGCCCTATCCTGCTTTGTCTCATAAAGTCTCTGAAAAGAAGGCAGGCCAGAGACAAGCAGGGGTTCTCCTCCCAGGGTGACCTGCCAATGTGTCTTCCCTGGCTGGCTTTCCAGAGGACACCCCCTGGGTGTGCACATGGAGGGGCACAGGGAAACTTCAGAAGTCTGTGGGTGCTGGAGAACCTGGACATATCTCATTGCCAGTGTGTCTTGGTAAGCGAGGGCAGAAAGCAGCAGTAGGCACACCAGCCTTGGCGCCCCCTGCTGGCAGTCTGATGCACAGGCCATGTTCTTACCTCCAGACCTTTGCACATGCTATTCCCTCTGCCTGGAACTGTCTTCCATTGTATTAGTTCCCTATTACTGCTGTAACAAATTTCCACAAACTCATAAGGCTTAAAACAACACCAATTTATTTACTTGTTTTTATTTATTTATTTGTGTTGAAACAGAGTCTCCCTCTGCTACCCAGGCATGATCTCGGCTCACTGCAGCCTCTGCCTCCTGGGTTCAAGCAATTCTCCTGCCTCAGCCTCCTGAGTAACTGGGACTACAGGCACGTGCCACCATGCCCGGCTAATGTTTTGTATTTTTAGCAGAGACAGGGTTTCACCGTGTCAGTCAAGATGCTCTCGATCTCCTGACCTCATGATCTGCCCGCCTAGGCCTCCCAAAGTGCTGGGATTACAGGCATGAGCCACTGCACCCGGCCCAAACAACACCAATTTAAACTTGATGGTTCTGGAGGTCAGAAGTCAGTCATAGGTCTTAGGGGGCCAAAATCGAGGTGCCGGGGCTGCACTGCTTTCCGGAAACTCAGGAGGGGCATCTGTCTTCTTGCCTCTGCCAGATCCTGGAGGTTACTGCATTCCTTGGCTCCTGGTCTTCTCCTTCCATCTTCAAAGCCGCAGTCATTTTTCCATAGTCACATCTCCCTCTGAGCACGGTCAGGAAGAGCTCACTGCTTTAACGGTGGTTCGATTGGACCTGCCCAGGTAATCCCGGATAGTCTCCCCATCTCAAGACTCCTTACCCCTAATCTCATCTGCAAAGTCCCTTTTGCCCTGTAAGGTAACATCATCACAGGTCCTGGGGACAAGGAGGTGGCTATCTGTGGGGGCTATTATTCTGTCTACCACAACCACTTCCTCTTACCTTGACTAACTGCCTACTTGTTCAGTGATTCAATGCATACGTTTTGGGTGCCTACAACATCTCAATGCTGTGCAATCACGGCGACCAGGAAAAATGCAGCCTCTGCCATCGTGAACCTCATAGGCTGGTAGCTCTTGGTGTAGATCATCACCACCTCCAAGAAGCCTTCCCTGACTGCTCCCTCGGACCCCCTAGCTGCTCCATTGCAGCACTGTCACTTTACAAATTCTCTGGCCTATCTCCCCAGCCAGACACCTCAAGGACCGGGAGTGCGTCTCATTCACCTCCACATTGCCAGAGACCTCACCTAGCAGAGTGAGTACTTGGGACACATCGATTGAACGGGCGAATGCGGGTTCCATCTCTACTCCACCGAGCTGTGCGACCTCAGGCAATCCCATTCCCTCTCAGAGCTGTTTCACCAGTTCTACAGTGGGTATGCATGGTAGCACCTAGCTTCAGAGGTTATTGTAAGGATTAAATCAGACAAGGTCCATCATGCACATAGTAGGTGTTCAGCCAAATGGCAGCTCCCTTCTCTCTTTGAACTGCTTCATGGACACAGGCTCTGAGTTCAGTGTTTGTAATTCTTGACCTGGGCCCAACACTGAAATTATCCCAGGCCTCAGATTTCTCCATCAGAGAACCAGGTTATAGGAGCATTCATCACAGGTGTGTCTCTACACAGAACCCTCCCCACCCCCAAAACACCAAAGGCCACCTTTTGGAGGACTGGCTAGAAGTATGGAAGCTGGGCCAGGTGCCGTGGCTCACGCCTGTAATCCCAGCACTTTGGGAGGCTGAGGCAGGTAGATCACAAGGTCAAGAGATCAAGACCAGCCTAGCCAATATGGTGAAACCCCATTTCTATACAAAAAATACAAATATGATCTGGGCATGGTGGTGGCTGCCTTTAGTGCCAGCTACTCGGGAGGCTGAAGCAGGAGAATTGCTTGAACCCGGGAGGTGGAGGTTGCAGTGAGCTGAGATTGTGCCACTGCACTCCAGCCTGGGTGACAGAGCAAGAATCCATCTGAAAAAAAAAAAAAAAGACGATGTATGAAAGCTAGCCAGGTGCTGTGGTTCATGCCTGTAATCCCACTTTGGAAGGTGGACAGATGGCTTGAGCCCAGGAGTTCAAGACCAGCCTGGACAACATGGTGAAAGTCCATCTATACCAAAATAAAAAAAAAATTAGCCAGGCATGGTGGCACGTGCCTGTAGTCCCAATTACTGAAGAAGCTGAGGTAGGAAGATTGCTTGAACCCAGGAGGTCGAGACTACACTGAGCCATGATTTTGCCACTGCATTCCAGCCTGGGTGACTGAGAGAGACTGAATCTCAAAAAATAAAAACTATAAAATAAGTATGGAAGCTGAGTCTTAGCTAGATATTCAGCAAGAAAACCCCGTGAAAGCTGAACACACGTCTGTCTGCACACAGAACATGCTTCCATCTGGCATCATTCAGTGTTGAAAGTCTGGATTTTGGAGTCTGGCTGACCTGGATTCAAATCACTCCTCTCCTGTAATCGGTGCACTGACCTTGAACAAGGGTCTTCCATTTCTGTGAACTTGATTTTCCTCGTCTGCAAAATGGGGACAATAAGAGGACCCATTTGTGAGGAAGTGTCTCACCTGGCACCTGGCACGAAGTAAGGTCAAGATCACGGTGAGCTCTGATGATCAGAGGAAGAAGCCCACCACCACTGAGGAAGCGGCAGGGAGACGGGGCCCCTGGAAGTCACCGCAGATCAGCCTCCAATTCCCGTAACTCAGCGACTCCCACTCGCCTGGTAACTTTGGAAAATATTATCTTAGTGTTTGCAATTCTTGATCTGGGCCCAACATGAAATTACTGCAGACTTTCTTCTTCTTGTTCTTCTCCTTTTTGACAGCTTGAGCAAAAGGAGTTGTTTTTGAACTTCAGAGGGGAAAAATACACGCGCACACGCACACGCCCCAAACAGCATCATTTCGCAGGACAGAATGTCCCCTGTGCTCCAGAGCAGGCGGCCCCAGCCCCACTCCGGCAGGCCTCACAAACACTTAGTGTCACTGCGGGTTATGTAAGCGTGGTTTGGGCCTGTGGGGCTGGACGTGGCCTTGGGTTTTGAAAGGAGGCAGAGGAGTTTGGGTGAGGAGCTGTTTGGCTCAAAATAGATCCAGGAACTCAGTGCAGAAAAAAAAAACCTCCTAGACTCTACTGAAAGGAATATTTAGATGTATAGTCTGGAATGTCCAGAACTCAGAAAACACAAGCCAGACTGTGGCCAATGTGGCTTTCGTGGCCTCATCACACATATGGGTGGGGTGACAGGTCGTGGCGTGTCACCACGTGACCCCTGCCATGGGACAAAGGTCAGCACACAGACCAGGTCCCTCCTGGAAGAAAAACGCCAGTTCTTAGTGTTTTCCAAAATGGTTTGTCCTTCTGTTCCTGGAGTTCGCTGCCTTTCTGCCGTGGCGCGGGATTTCGTGATTCCTACCGGCAAGCAAGATATTTGTTCCAGCGAAAGGAAGGCAGGAGATACAGGGCAATGAGCTCATCCTGACTTGCCTGAAGCCTTTCCCAGTTTCAAAACTGAAAGTCTCACTTGCAAGGAAACCCCTCTGTCCTGGGCAGATGGGGACAATGAGTCGCTCTGCAGGACAGCATAATCCTGATGACCACCATCATCTTTCTGGAGCCCCGAGTAAGTGACCCTTGACAGGCTTATTTATATGCACTGTCACATCTCGTTCCCCCAGCTGCCTTTCCAGTAGGTTTCCCATACCCATTTGACAGACAAACGAGGCTGGGAGGAGGAAAATACATGAGAATACATGGGGGAGTGAGGGAGACAGGAAGATGCTCAGGTGTTAAAATCGGAGATTTGGCCTGGTGTGGTGGCTCGCACCTGTAATCCCAGCACTTTGAGAGGCCAAGGCAGGAGGATAACCTGGGGTCAGGAGTTCAAGACCAGCCTGGCCAACATGGTGAAACCCTGTCTCTGATAAAACTACAAAACTTAGCTGGATGTAGTGATGGGCACCTGTAATCCCAGCTACCCAAGAGGATGAGGTGGGAGAATCACTTGAATCCAGGAGGTGGAGGTTGTAGCGAGCCAAGATCACACCACTGTACTCCAGCCTGGGAAACAGAGCAAGACTCTGTAAAAAAAAAAAAAAAAATTCAGAGATTCCTGGGCCCCAACCCAGAGAATCCAACCCAGTAGTTGTGGGAACTGCATTTATAACACACTCTCCTGGTAGTTCCACGAGCAAGTAATTTCAATGTGCAATGCCCAGCCCAGCTCCACTGGGAATTACCTTGGAACTGAGCATGGAAGGTGAAGTTCAGTGGGGACAGGCATCTGAGCTGAGGGAACAGCATGAGGAAGGGCACGAAGGTGTAGTGATGGGAGAGTGTCTAGCTGAATATAATGTCCTTCATGGGCAAAGTGGGACAGGAGGCTGCCGTTGACAGATCTAGGGCTTGAACACCAGGCTAAGGAGTTTAGACTTTATCCTGAGGGCACTGGGGAGCCATGGACAGCTTTAAACAGTGGTGACAAGGTCAAATTTGTGTTTTGGAAAGATGACTCCAGCTCTTACGCAGCAGTTATGTTGCAAAGGAGTATGAGTGGAGGCAATGGAACAGATAGGAGGAAAGTGACAGAAACCCAGCGCAAACTGGCTGACACCAAAATGGAAATTCATTGACTCATGTAATTGACTCCAACTTCAGGTATGGCTGGATCCAGGTTCTCAATTTAGAAACCAGCCTCTCTCCGTGTCTTGGCTCTATTCTGGCTTCTTTCCAGACAGGCCCTCCCTCTGTGATGACAAGTTAGTCTCCAGAAGCTCAGTACTTGCCTCCTGTGGCTCAGCAACCCCATCAGAGAGAAAAATCCCTCTTGCATAGAACTTTCAACCAAATTCCCAGAGCTGGCACCTGCTGGCTCTGATGGGCTCATCCCCTGGCCAATAACAGTGGTACCTTGTTGGCCAGGTCTGCATCAAGACCCACCCCTAGAGTTAGGGAGTGGGATCAGCCCCATCCCAAATCCATAGTCTGGTATGGGAGAGGGGGTGCTGATCCCCAGAGGAAAATCTGGATTCTGTCTCCAGGAACCTTGATCATGGACCATGTAGGGGAGAGAGTCCCAGCTTGGGCTGGAACCCAAGGATTACGGATTACCGTCCCCACCTGCCTGAAGTGGAAAGAGAGAGGTGAAGAGAGTGGCAGAAGGCCACACAGCAACCTGAGGGCATCAGGTCTCAAACTTCCTTCAGACAAACACTAAGGCCAGCAGTTCGTGATGAATGCCCTGCAAGGGGGGATTTCTGCACAATCCCTGGAAACAGACCACAGAAGCTGCTCCTGAGTCTCAGGGACTTAAGAAGTAACTTCCATAGCTGCTATCTCACAGTGCCATTGCAATCTCTAATAACTGCAAGCAATTTTGTTTTTGAGATAAAATCTTGCTCTGTCTCCCAGGCTGGAGTGCAGTGGTGTGATCTCGGCTCATTGCAACCTCTGCCTCCCAGATTCAAGCGATTCTCCTGCCTAGCCTCCCAAGTAACTGAGACTACAGGTGCGCACCACCACGCCAGGCTACTTTTTGTATTTTTAGTAGAGATGGGGTTTCACCATGTTATCCAGGCTGGTTTCAAACTCCTGACCTCACGATCCACCCACCTCAGCCTCCCAAAGTGCTGGGATTACAGGTGTGAGACATCTCATTCAACAAGTAAATATTTTTAAATGAATTATTTTAGTTTGATGGACCGATTGATTGAATGATTGAGATAGGGTCTGACTGTCGCCCAGGCTGGAGTGCCCGGGTGTAATCACGGCTCACGGCAGCCTCAAGCTCCCCAGCTCAAGTGATCTTCCCACCTCAGCCTCCAGAGTAGCTGGGACCACAGGTAGGTGCCACCACGCCCAGCTAAGTTTTTATTTTTTGCTATCTTGCCCAGGCTGGTCTTGAACTCCTGGGCTTAAGCGATCCTCCAACCTCAGCCTCCTGAAGTGATGGGATAGCAGGTGTGAGCCACCACGCCAGGCCTTTATTTTTAATTGACAAAAATTATATGCATGTGTATACACACACAAGGGAATAGTATTCAGCATTATAAAAGACAGAGACCCTATCCTTTGCGACAACATGGATGAACCTGGAGGACATTATGCTAAGTGATAAGCCAGACACAGAAAGCTAAGTGCAGCAAGATCTCACTTCTATGTGGAATCTAAAAAAGTCAAACGCATAGAAGCAGAAAGTAGGAGACTGGTTACCAGGGGATGGGGGCGGGGCCTGGGGGAACAAGGGGATGTTGGTCAAAGAGTCCACAGCAATTAGGCAGGAGGAATAAATTCTACAGGTAAATGTTAAAAGGGGAGAACCCTCAAGTAATCTCTGGTCTAAAGTCAGGATTAAAGAGAATAATCACATCTCACACACCGGCCTCTGAATTGCAAGGTCATCAGAGCAGACAGAGCCACAGGCTGATGGAGCTGAGGTTCCCTGAAGCACGGGAGACCATGGTGAGTCTCTGCCCAGGCACAATTGATTCGGACGTGCAGAGCTGTGGCTGCGTGGAGTGCAGTCCTCACAGCAGTGCCGCAGAGCCACCAATCCTGAGCTTCCCCAGCCCCTAACCCTACCTGGTACATTATGAGACCCAATAAATAGTTGTCAGATCAATGGATGGCTGCCCCAATTGTCTTGCACACCTCCTGGCATGGGAGGCTTACTGCTACCCAAGGCATCCTGTCCCTTTGTTCAACAGCCCTGCCAGAAATGCAGCTCTTGACCCCAAATGGCAAAATTATGGAGCAACATCCAGGTAACTGCAGCTTTAGAATGTATCCTCAGGAAAGAATTCAAAAGCAGCAAAAGTAAGTAATCAATAGGAAGGTGTTCATTCTAGTGTTGTCTACGAGGGTAGAAATCTAGCAGTGATCTGAACGCCTCACAGATGGCAAAGATTTTGTGTGTGTGTGTGTGTGCATGCACGTGTGTGTGAGTGCAAAAGAGAGAGAAAGAGTGCATGTTACTCCTGAGACACCACTACAATCGACAACCTGGCAACCATTAAAAACGTGAACTCTGAGAAGCATGTAGAAACATGAGGAATCGCAGTCTAACAGAAGGTTAGGAAAGGCAGAATGCACATTGTGCCTGCAGCCACGTCAGCTAAATGCGCACAGACAGGAGGGGGTGGAAATAAGCAGACAAGGAAATAGCTGTGTGGTCCGTGTGGCTGCACCTTAGGCTGCCTTTTTTTCTTTTTTTTTTTTTTTGACAGTGTCTCGCTCTGTGGCCAGACCGTCGTCTGGAGTGCAGTGGTGCGATCTCGGCTCACTGCAACCTCTGACTCCTGGTTCAAGGGACTCTCCTGCCTCAGCCTCCTGAGTAGCTGGGATTACAAGCCCGCACCACATGCCCAGCTAATTTTTGTATTTTTAGTAAAGATGGGGTTTCACCATGTCGGCCAGGATGGTCTCAATCTCCTGACCTCGTGATCTGCCCACCTTGGCCTCCCAAAGTGCTGGGATTATAGGCGCGAGCCACTGCGCCCCACCTAGGCTGTTTTAAAAAGCTTCCTTACAATTGCATCTCCCCATCCTCTAAGTACCATTGTTCCCATTTTATAGATGAGAAAATCGTCACCCAGGGAACTAGCCATTTGCACATCATGGCTGCTGAGACAAACCGGGCGGCTGACTCAGAGCCCCTTTTTGATCCTGTCACCCCTCAGCTGGGCCCACAAGCTCTGTAGCCCTTCCGAGAGCTGAAGGCAGGATCCTTGCCCCGAGCGCCTTGTCTTCTTCTCGGTGACCGTTCCTGTACCCTCATTGTCCCCCCTAAGACTTGCTTTCAATTCTCCCCATCATAGACCAAGAAGGAGCCATGGCCAGAGATGGCGCCCTGATCGACTAGCATTGCCTGGAAATGTTCCTGCTGTCACAGCCTGACCTTTGTGTGAATCTCAGGAACAGAGACCCCTTACGCCCACTGGGGCGGCCCTGCCAGGTGAGCCAACGGAGGCATGTGTGGAAGTGCCCATCCTGGCCATCTGCTCTCCAGTGTGCTATTAAATCTGACCCGGCAATCATAACTTTCTAGTAGACGACGGCCTCATAACCACAGTACATCCCTGGGCTTCAGGCTCTGGGCTCTGTGGAAAATTCTAGAGCATCACAGGCCAGGTTAAGAGTCCCTTCTTTGAAAAAAAGTAGAAGACATAAGCTCTCTGCAGATAGAGCCGGCTTTGCTGAGCCATTGATTACTGTCAGTGGCAAAAACCGCGATTACTTTTGCACCAACATAATACTTATCTCCTCTTCCCGACAGCTCGCTAAGGTGCATGTTATTCTCCCCGTTTTACAGATAAGGAGTCTGAGGCTCCATAGGTGGGCAGTATCACTGAACTTGCAAAAGAGCCACAGCTGGGCTCTGAAGACAGACTCATCAGGCACTGCAAACATGCCCCTTTCCTCCAGCCTGGGATAAAAGGCTGAAGCAAACGCAGTTCTCTTCCCTCACCCACCCCAGCCCTGAATTCTTCGCATTTGAGTCATATCTTCAGGAGTTTCCCAGAGACACAAGCCCCCTATTCAGACATTCACTCAACAAACATTCGTTGGGCACTGATTGTATGCTAGAATCTGCATGCAGAGAGGTAGGGAAGCTTTCACGGACCAGAAAGCCGTGGCCCCTGGCCTCTTGGGGCTCAGGCTAAAGGGAGCGGCAGCCTCCAACCATCACAGGAAGCTATACAGTTGGAACAATGGCGAGGAAGGTATGAGATGCCACTAGAACATCAGGGCCGTGGAGGACTTCCAGGCAGCAGAAACAGCACATGTAAAGGACCTGTGGTGGGAACAAAATAGGCCAGTGTGGCAGGAGGAGAGTGAGTGTCGGGGATAAAATTCATTCTGATTAACACCTCCTACCAGTGGTTCCAACATTTGCCACGCGGCCACTGCATGCTGCCTCTGAGCTTCTCGTACATAATCTCTAATCCTTCCTGTGCTTTCCTGTAGCAGTAGGGTGAGGATATTTGCCCCCACTCCTCATTTTACAGTTGAAAGAAAATGGAAACTCAGAGAGATATTGAAAGTTCCCAGACCCGGCAAGTGACCCTGATTCCGGACACCCAGCCTCGGTGGTAAAGGTTTACCACGTGTCTGGCTCTGTGTGAAGCGCTTTACACATCTTACTGCAACGAGTCCTGTCCAAAACCTGAGATGCAGTGACTTGCACAGACAAGAAAAGCGAGGCTCAGAAGGAGATGCGACCCACAGAGCCCGGAAGCTGAGGGGCTGGAAGCAAGTCCAGGGTTGTTTCCCCAGGACCACATTTGCAGCAGCCTCGGGGAGAAGCCAGCCCCACTCCATGCGCAGATGTGAGTGATGAATTCACCCACGGTTACTCGTCTAGCCACTGACCTGCAGCCTTGGCAGACCCCCGGGCTAACCAACCTCCAGCCACAGAAGTGAGAACTCTCCCGGTGACTGGGGACATCTTTCTGTGAGCCATCTGAGGGCCTGGCCCCCTCTTCATCCTGTGGGTTCCCTTTATCATCAGCCGATCCTTTCACACCTGCCACTATGTTGGCTGGCACCGTCAGGCTGAAGCCCACTTCACCATTGCCTGAGTCTGGGTTCCCCTGAAAGAAGGCCCTCGGGCAAGGATCTCAGGGCGAGCCCTTTGTCTGACAATTGATTCCAGAAGTAGGATTCGATGTGGGGAAGTAACAGAGGAGGAAACCAACGAAGGATGTATTAGGGAGTGGCTGACCACTGTAGGATCGGCACAGTCCTGCTGGGGACTCACTACGCTGCGGCTGCCCCCACGGAGGGATGAGGGAGCTGGGGTATTTACCCCCGAGTGCCCATCCCTCTCTGGCTGAGGGCTGCTCCTGGGATGGGTCCAGGGGTGTTAACTCTCCAGCACTTCTAGCCAGCCTGCCCAGTTACCTGGCCAAGAACACAGGATCTATCTCCTCAGATGACCTGCAGGGAGCCAAGACATGTGAGTGCATCATTTAGGGGAAGTTCATTCATCCTTCCACTCTGCCGGGTAGCAAACATTTCTAGAGCCTCCATCCCTGTGCCTGGCAGTGCTATGGTCTGAAAAGAGGCAGCCTGGAAGGGCACGACCATCAAACGCCTACACGTGAGGCACCATACTAAATGCTTAAATATGCAATCTTTTCAAACTACACGTGCATGTATAAGTGTCAACACCACCTCACGAGGCCATGTGTGGTGGCTCATGCCTGGAATGTCAACACTTTGGGAGGTTGAGATGGAAGGATCACTTGAGCCCAGGAATTTGAGACCAGTCTTGGCAACATAGTGAGACCCCATCTCTACAAACAATTAAAAAAAAACTAGCCGAGCATGGTGGTGCGTGCCTGTGGTCCCAGCTACTTGGGAGGCTGAGGTGGGAGGCCCATTTGACCCCAGGAGGCTGAGGCTACGGTGAGCCGTGATCACACCCCTACACTCCAGCCTGGGTGATGGAGCAAGACCCTGTCTCAAAAAATTGAAAACAAACACTTCAGCATATTTTGCATTCCCTCCGTACTGACTGTGACCAGTATGGGCATGTGAATCACCCTTGGAAGTTTGGCTTTTCCATCCATAAAATGAAACCCCGTCTCCTAGGGTTGATGAGAGGATTACATTGTAAAGTTCCCAGACACAGGGCCTGACGCAGAGTAAGCACTCCATAAATGGTAGCGATTCTGCTATTTTTCTCTTCTTATCATCATAGTTCACCAAATCCAAGACACCGTCAGTTGTAAACCACATCACAATCTTCGAGATATTATAATGAGGGAAGAAAAGCACTTCTTAGAATTGATGGGATATGGCCTTGTTCCCATTTTCCAGATTAAGGCTGTATTGAGGCTTGGGGTAGGAACAGAATTGGCCTGTTTTCCCCCTACGATCGCTGCTTCCCACCCCTAAGACAGGACCCTCACTCGGTCACCCTGGTGTCAGGTTCAGGGAGATTTTGCTGTTGATGCTACGCTACAGGAGGAGAATCAACACTTTTCAAGCTGTGGATTAACTTATTTCAGTGCTGTGTCAAAGAGAACCAGAAGTCTGCAGCAATTATGTGGATGGGGCCCACACCCACCCAACACCCTCCCCTGGCCTCCACCAAGATGACTCAGCCCAAATTATCCCCTTAATTGTCTCAACCTGCGTGGACTCCAGCCGGGGCCCTCCTTCCCCAAAAGCCGCATGACTGGATCCTTGAGGGCTGCAGAGAGCAGCACGCTCCCCTCTCTCTGAAAAGGAATGTGGCTTTCCAGGCCCTTCCACCACTGCTCATCAGCTCTGTTTTCACTTCCCTCCCCATGGTTGTTGATGGTCTTTATGAAAACTTCTGGGCCAACATGGCGGCTCATGCCTATAATCCCAGCACTTTGGTAGGCCAAGGCGAGAGATTGCTTGAGTCCAGGAGTTTGAGACCAGCCTGGGCAACATAGTGAGGGCTCCGTGTCTTTAAAAAATAAAAATAAAAAATTAATTTTAAATTTTAATTAATTTTTTTTAAACTTAAAAAAATTAGCTGGACGTGGTTGCATATGCCTGTGGTCCCAGGCACTTGGGAGGCTGAAGTAGGAGGATTGCTTGAGCCCATGAGGTTAAGGCTACAGTGAGCTGTGACTGCACCACTGCACTCATTCTGAATGATGGAGTGAGACCCTGTCTCAAAAAAAAAGAAACAGAGAGAGAAAGAAAGGGGTTGGGAGGGAGGGAAGGAGGGAGGGAGGGAGGGGAAAAAAAAGAGAAAAAAGAAAAGAAAGAAAGTTCTTCTCTGAATAGACCTCCCTTTGGAGATCCCTGTTCCTTTACTGCTGACCCTGCCTTACCCTGTTGCAAGGCCTGGGGGAGGGAGAGTACTGAATTTTAAGTCCCTTTAGGGGAGGGACTATCTTACACTGCCATCTGAATCCCACCAGCAGAGGTCATGGCACAGAGAAGACATTGGAGCTAAGTGGGGTTGGATAAAAAAAGGAAAAAATGAAAAAAGAACCAAAGAGGTTTGATCATGGAAGAACAAAGGAGGCCTCTGAGGAAGGAGGGGGTGTGCCAAGGCTGAATCAGACTCCCTTAGCAAGAACAAGAAGACATAACAGCAAAAACAAGCAGACACAGTGATGTTCCCCATAAACCAAAGAACACTCAGGATTGGCAGATGGGATGATGCACTCAGGGGTAGACTTTTATATTCAGGATTCAGAAGAGAATTATTTGTTGGCTAAGAAAGCTCTCCTAGTATATTGATTTTATGAATGCAGAAGTCCCAAGAATTGAACAGGTATTTTTTTAAGACCTATGGGGGAGGCAGATCAGGAGTCATAGGCCCCTGACCCAGGCTGTGGTCACTGCAGGCTGGGAGACCCTGGGAAAAGTACTCATTTATTTTGATTGGCAGGTACACAGGAATGAAGTGATTCCCTCAAGGACACTTGTCTGTAAGAGACTCAATATCATCGCTGGTCTAGACAGCTCCTCAAACCCAGTCAGTTACCCTCCCCACAGCCACAGACATGGGCCATATTTAACACAGTTAAATATGTTCATTCTTCCAGGTTATCTGCCACTCTTAGGTACACACACGTATATATCCAAGAACAACAAAGAGCGTTGTCTTGAGTAAATGGTTTTTTAAATGAATATAAATGATTTTACCAACTGTGGCTCCTTTGCAACTTTCTTTTCTTCAATATTAATTTCAAGACTCATCCATGCTGGTAAGTATGGTGATAACTCCTTTTCATTGCTGTACAATAATCTGTTTACAAATATCCCTTTACAAAAAAATTTAAGAGACAGGTTTTTGCTTTGTTGCCCAGGCTGGAGTGTAGTGGCGTGATCATAGCCCGCTAAGCTCACTATAACCTCAAACTCCTGGGCTCAAGTGATCCTCCCACTTGAGCCTCCCAAGTAGACAGGACTACAGATCCACAATTACACCCGGCAAATTTTGCTTTTTAGTGTTTATAGAGACTGGTTCTCACTCTGTTGAGACTGTCCTCAAACTCCTGGCCTCAAGTGATCCTCCTGCCTTGGCCTCCCGAAGTGCTGGGATTATAGACGTGAGCCACCGTGCCCACCCAGTTTCCCTTACTGTACCTATCCATTTCCCCACAGACAAACATCTAAGTTGTTTCCAAGCCTGACCCACTGGACACTTCACTTCCTCCTTCAATGATCCCAGCTATAAAAATGAGAAGCAACAGTTGACTTCCAAGTTGCCACAGGCTGTCTGCTCCAAATGCAGACTTCACCCCCAGGAAGTTCACCATTCCATCGGGGAGCTGTGATTTGTACGTAAGTGAAAGAAATCTCACTCCATGACTGAATTGGGTGGTAACCAGCGTCTTCATCCTCATCTCTGACCTCTAAACCCTTGCCACCCTGAGAACGCTTTGCACAGTGCCTGGCACTCCTGGGAGAGTGAGTGAGGCAATGAGTGGAGTGGGATGGGTGGAAGAGGGAGGAGTGGGGTACAGCTCTGCAATTACATCAATCGCATCAGCGGGGGAGTGGGGCATCTGCCTGGTGCATCCATAGCAGCCCAGCCTGGGCAGCTTCCTGCCCCATCCCAGCAGGACATACCTCACATCACACAGCGGGAATCCTCTTGCTGTTATTTACGTTGCCTGCAAAATCCAGGAAGCCATCCCTGAATATGTGGCCCCATGTCTTGAGATCAAATCCTTTCAGCAGGATTGTCTTTCCCCAGTATCCTCCTGTGATCCAGACTGCAGAGCCTGCCTGATGTGGATTCGGATTTGCTGTTCCTGGGAACAAGAAAGAAAGCGAGTTTCGAAAGCTCAGAATCCGATCTCCGGCCCGGTGGAAACACTGCCATATGCTTAATTGTGCTCCAATTACACAGGATGCTCCAGAATCACTGCTCTGGGGTGGAGAGACGCTAATGGCCATCATTACATTTGGACAGCCCTGTTCGGCTTTCTATGATCTTTGCAACTACTGTATTTGGTTCACTGACAGTTGCTGGCCTGTTTTAACACGGGAGAGATGGCGGAGTTCCTCATTTGCAAACACTGACTGAGAACCTAGGATGGACCAAGCCTGGTTTCAGGCACTGAGGACAGTGCAAAGTAGGTTCTCATGAAACTTCTAGTCCAGTGGGGAGACAAGCAATACACACACACACACACACACACACACACACACACACTGCCCATAGAGATAAGTGCCATGAACAATTAAGAGCTATGAGAAATGGGAGTAGGGTGTGGTAGCTCACATCTGTAATCTCAGCACTTTGGGAGGCTGCGGTGGGTGGATCATGAGGTCCAGAGTTCAAGACCAGCCTGGCCAAGATGGTGAAACCCCATCTCTACTAAAAATATAAAAATTAGCTGGGCATGGTGGCACATGCCTGTAGTCCCAGTTACTCAGGAGGCTGAGGCAGGAGAATCGCTTGAACCCAGGAGGCGAAGGTTGCAGTGAGCCAAGATCACACAACTGCACTCTAGTCTGGGTGACAGAGCAAGACTCCGTCTCAAAAAAAAAAAAAAATAGCTATGAGAAATGGGAGTAGGGCCTAAACAGTGGTCCAGGAAGGCTCCCTGCAGAGGAGACATTTGGGTACCTAGGTGAGGTAAGGGAGGGAGCTGTGAGGAGGAGATCTGCTGGAAGAGTGTTCCAGGCAGCAGGAACAGCCAGTGCAAAGGCCAAGGGGCCCTGCTTGGTATGTGGGACAGCCTGTGTGGCTGGAGTGGAGAGACGGACTAGAAAATGGGGAGAGGATGACACTGTACGGGTCACCGTAAGGAATCTGCACTTCACTGTGAGTGGCATGGGACTGCTTTGAGCAGAGGAAGGATGTGACCTGTTTGATACCTGGAAGAATCTCCCCCACTTTTATCTGAGACAAGGTCTTGCTCTGTTGCCCAGGCTGGAGTGCATTGGTGTAATAATAGTTCACTGCAGCCTCAGAGGGGGCAGCTAAAGCTCCCTGGAGTGAAAGTGTTGGTGAGGTACAAGACCCCAGATCTTCTCAGCTAGATCTGCTTCAGAGCACTGTCAGCACAGCAGGCCAGTGCAAGGCAGAAGTCAACGTTAAAACGGATTTGATTAGCCCAACTCGGGGGAGAGGTCCGAGCTTGCCCATATTGCCGGCCCAAATTTCCCTGCAGCCCCCAGCTGGGCACAGCTGAGCTATGGCTTCCGTGAGCTGCAGGATTTTTGGAATAAAGGCTCAACCTTGGAAAAGTATTAATGAAAATGTCACAGGCACTAAAGTCAAAGCAGATGTGAAGCCAGCTACGCGGGCAGACGTAACTGATAAGAAACAGCCCAGGAGAGAACAAAACCTCTTGAGATTAGGTCAAGGGCAGACCAAAAAAAAAAAAAATGACATCCAGGGGTCCCCCATGGCAACTCGGAGGAACACTGTCGCTCCTGGGGAACAAGCTGACATTTTTGTGCTGTGTTATATATTGACGTCCCGACAGGGCCGCGTGCGGAGGCCTCCACATCAGCAAATAAATATTACGTCTCCATCTTCAGCTAAGCAGAGCTGTGGTGCATTCCTATTACTTCATGTGGATTAACCATCTGGAAGTGGAATCAAGCCGCAGAGTAAAGAATGAGATCCAATTTTGCATTCACCAAAATAAGGCCTACGAGTCTCAATTTATGGCAGACGGTTATGCAGTCTCAGCGGGCCAAAAAATCTCTCTGCAAAAGAATAAAGTTTATGCCAATTACTGTAATAGGAACCAGCACAACAACTGTGTGGGGTTGGCTAAGATCGCAGATATTGCTGTACAGCTCGTAAACTGCAGGGGGCCGGGGCAACGCTGGGGACCCAGTTAATTCATTAAGATAACGCAAGAGAAATGAGGAGCAGAGTTCGTCGTAAAACAGAAATACTTCCCCGCAAAGGACATGGGGGAGTCGAGGTGGAGTGGCTCCTGTTGGGATGGGACCTGGGTCGTGCTGCAGGCAGGTCCAGGGAAATGGGTAATGGTCACGGAGAGGCTGCCTGGTGCTCAGTGGGAAGGGTACAGGAGGAGAGCTGTTCCATTCCGGGCTTTTCTCCACTCCATTCATTCAAAACAGATCTGCTGAGCATGGGCTAGTCTGTGGCAGGCAGTGGGCAGGCCTCGAGCCTACTGTGACCAGTGCCCTGCACTCCTGGGAGCTGCCCTTATGGAGCTCCCAGCCTGGCGGTGCCCAGGAGGGGTGCTGGTCGAGTCGGGAGGTCCAGGGAGGCTTCTTGGATATGGCCCTGGGGCTGAGGTTGAAGGATGCAGAGGAAGGAAGAGGGCTCCAGGCCTACAGGACATGCTGTGGGCTTTGGTCCCGGAGAATCTGGAAGCAGGCTACCGTGGCTGCAGCCTGGTGACGAGGGGCAACAGCTAGGCAAAGATGGGGAGGGTGGCTGGGCCTCTTGGGCCCAGAGAGTTTTGTCTGTGTCCTGAAATCGGAGATGAAATGATATGCTGTCTTCCTTTTGGATAGGGGTCTTTGGCCACAGGAAGCTCTGACTCTTTTCAGCTGAGAGCAGCTTCATTTTTTATTTTTATTTTCTGAGACAGGGTCTCACTGTCACCCAGGCTGCAGTACAGGGGTACAATCTTTGCTCATTGCAGCCTCAACTTCGCAGGCTTAAGCTATCTTCCCACCTCAGCCTCCTGGGTAGCTGGGATTACAGGTGTGCACCACCACACCCAGCTAATGTTTTATTCATTTATTTATTTATTTTGTAGAGACAGGGTCTTACTATGTTGCCCAGGCTGGTCTCAAACTCCTGGGTTCAAGTGATCCTCCCATCTCAGTCTCTCATATAGTTGCAACATCAACTATACTGTTGATATTACAGGCATGAGCCACTGCGCCCGCCCTGAGAGCAGCTTCTGGACCTGTGTGCTCAAGGACATGGCAGGGCGGTAACTCCTCACTCCCCAGGATGCTGTCATGATGGAATGACGCACTATAGCACAGAGGAGGGGTTCGCCCTTTCTCCATTGTCCTGCCTGAGGAAAGCACTGCTGGGGACCTCCTGGCCAGTATCTCCTCAAGATGGCAGCTTCCATACAACATGTTCCCCACCCCTGCCCTGGGAATTTTGTGCCCTGCTAGGACTGAAGCGGGAGGGATTAGGCAGTTGGTCTGGGACCCATCAGGTTTCAAAACAAGGTTGCCTGTTTCCTATACATGTTGGTTCAGCTCTTGTAAATTTTTTAAGTGAATGTTGACATTTGGGGCTCACAATAGGGTGACCAACTGTCCCAGTTGCCCCAGGAATGTACTGGTTTTAGCACCAACAGTGCAGCCTTCCAGGAAACCCTCTATCCTGGGCAAACCAGAACGGCTGGTCACCCTCGCCAAATAACAGACCAATGAAGAAGCAAAGCCAGTGTTGCAGAGATTTCCACGCAGCCCCACGGCCATTCCTTGTCTCACAGCTACATCCTGTGTTGGTATAAAGACCTCAAGTTCCACCAGCAGGTCACTGAGGTTCGGCGGGGCTGAGACCACTTGGGGGCCCATTGATCGGTGAGTAGAGGCAGCGGGCTTGGAATGCAGGCATTGGACACTAAAGGCTCAGTGTCATTAGTAAAAGCCCAGGGCACCAGTCACGACCGCCGAGCTGCACGTTCTTGAGACAGGTTGACAAGTAATGGAACAAAGCAATCCCACTGTTCCTTGCTTGGCCAGCCGTCTCTTCCCTGCTCCCATGAAGGCCCAGGCAGACAGAGGCCATCTCCTCTTGGTGGCCCAGAGCCAGGCTGGGCCAGACTGCCTAGTCACTCGGAGTCCCCCTCCTTGCCCACCACCCCCTGCCCGAGGATACTGTGTGCCCTGCGGCACATAAACAACCTGCGGGGAGAAGACCAAGATGGAGACTGGATCTCAGGGCAAGGGGGAGAAGCCCACCAGCAGGAGTGCGGGTGCTGACCTCAATCACACAAGTGGAGAATCTGAGCCTGCTGGGTTGGAAGGGGCCGGGAGGAATCCTGAATACACCCCCCACCCCCACATGGGCTTCCTGGCATGCACCAGGCCGAGGAAGGGGAGTGAGCTCATGGGCCACGAGATACCAAACAAAAAATCTGATCCCCAGTGACAAAAGGCACCTATGGGCAGTCACATATGGAAAGGGTTCTTGAGGCCTTGGGCCTTACAAAAAGTTTTAGTAAGATTCTCTTGTCAAGTAAAACATCGAAGACAGTTCTGCGGGTGAGGGGGGCCGCTACCCACAATCCCCCCCACGCTAACAAAACCACCACAGCGGCTCCCCTCTGGATGCTGGCAGACTGGAAGACTTCCTGCTCCGACGTGGTAGGAGAGGGATGGCAGGTATTCTGATTTCTATCCCGACATAGCACAGTTCATGTCTCCGCATTTCATTATCATTAAACCTTTCCCTCTAAGTACTCCTAGGCGACCTACAATAGGAGTCATGGATACAGGAGAACCTGAAACCCTCAAGCCTCCCAGCACCATCGCCAAAACCAGGGCTGAGGGGTGGGAAGGGGGAAGGAGGAGTTACTGCAGGAAGCCCTGCCTGAGGAGCGTGCCTCACTTGGATGTAAAATGCAGCATGGGGGTTTCTGACATCAGCATGTTCAACGCGATGTGGGACAATGTTTAACAGTGTATAGGAAGACACGTTTTCTTGGCTCCGGGAAGAATCCATCATGGAAGTTTACTCCTAAGAGGTGTTTAAGAACCTAGGGTGTCCTCAATAGAATTTTTGTCATTAGGGCCTCCCCTTGCACCAATGCTTACTAAACGCCACGAGCATAGAGTTTGCAGTTCTCAAAGACCCCTACGGCAGCAGATGCGTACCTCTGGGGTGGCCTCTGGATTACAACCCTGGCTCCACCACGTTTAGTGATAAAACCTGGGGCAAATTATATTAGCCTGGACCTCAGCTTCCTCAAGCATAAAAGGATAGCAGTGGCCGGGCATGGTGGCTCACACCTGAATCCCAGCACTTTGGGAGGGCTGAGGCAGGTGGATCATGACGTCAAGAGATTGAGACTATCCTGGCCAACATGGCGAAACCCCGTCTCTACTGAATATACAAAAATTAGCCAGGCGTGGTGGCATGTGCCTGTAATCCCAGCTACTCAGGAGCCTGAGGCAGGAGAATCGCTTGAACCTGGGAGGTGGAGGTTGCAGTGAGCCGAGATAGTACCACTGCACTCCAGCTGGGTGACAGAGCAAGACTCCGTCTCAATAAAAGAAAAAAAAAGGATAGTGGGTCGGGCGCGGTGGCTCAAGCCTGTAATCCCAGCACTTTGGGAGGCCGAGGCGGGTGGATCATGAGGTCAAGAGCTCGAGACCATCTTGGTCAACAAGGTGAGACCCCGTCTCTAATAAAAATACAAAAAATTAGCTGGGCACGGTGATGGGTGCCTGTAATCCCAGCTACTTGGGAGGCTGAGGCGAGAGAATTGCCTGAACCCAGGAGGCGGAGGTTGCGGTGAGCCGAGATTGCGCCATTGCACTCCAGCCTGGGTCACAAGAGCGAAACTCCGTCTCAAAAAAAAAAAAAAAAGGATAGTGGTAAGAGCACCCACTTCATAGGGTTGCTGTGCAGATCAGAGGCCAATTCTGTGCTGTACCTGACTTACAGCAGGTGCTACTAAGTGCCTTGGTACTGTTACTGTTTGCAATCTGGTTTGTTAAGAGGAAAACCCATGAAAAGAATCTTAAAGCAGGGGTTTGGCAAACTGTGGCCCTTGGGCCAAATCTGACCTGCTGCCTGTTTGTGGGAAGTTCTGTTGAAACAGCCATGCCCGTTTATGTTATGTCTATGGTTATTTCCCCACGATAAAGGCAGTGTTGAGTTGTTAGTTGCAATACGGACTGTATGGCCCATGAAGCCAAAAGTATTTACTATATAGCCCTTTACAAAAAGTTTGCCTACCCGATGTAAGGGAATGAATGGATTGTGTGATGTCTATGCCTGGCTGTTCTGGGCCTGATTCCAAGCCTCCCTCCAGCCTCATTTGGGAGAAGTCTCTCGTCCTACGCAGCACGACCTTGGAATGACACTGTGGGAGAAGGCTATAGGGCATATCGGGTGGGGAGCACTCACAGCACCTCTTGGTGGGCGGAAAAGCTGTTTCAGGGACTCCCCGGGCCATGGGAAAGTGGAGGCGGCACTGCGAACGTGGCATCAGTATTCCGGGCTGCAGAGAGCCAGCATGCAATGGGATGCCCAGAGGCAAAGCTTTTGTTTAGCACATACATTAATAAACACAGGAGGCCACTCCTTCGTTCCACTTCATGAAGCTCCCTCAGTCTGGAGTGCAAGGCAATGCCACCATCGACTGATTAGCAGGTGGTGTCAGAATAGATAAGGGATCAACAAGGCGGAAGCATGTCATGGCGCTTTACTCTTCTCAGAAATCCAAGTAAACAGATTCAACCCAAGGTGGAGTGTCACTGACTCACGGAAACTCTGGGCTGGTTTTCTAGACAGAAGCCTGGCCTTAGCATATTCCACCAGAAGCCGAGACCCCAGGCCCAGGTTAAGGCGTTAGCAATGGCACCTGGGGAGTCCTATTTCAATTGTGGAAAAGCTATAGGATGTCCATGAGCCTTTTTATGAGTGTAGGATTTAGTTTAACAACCACAGATAGTATTTTTTTCTGGACAATGGAGAGATAGAAATTAACCGTACCAGTTGAGAAGAGTTTAAGCATAATTCTTTTTTTTTTTTGACTCCTGGGCGGAGTCTCGCTCTGTCGCCCAGGTTGGGGAGCAATGGAGTGATCTCTGAAACCTCCATCTCCTGGGTTCAAGCAGTTCTCCTGCCTCAGCCTCCTGAGTAGCTGGGATTACAGGTGTGTGCCACCACGCCTGGCTAATTTTTGTATTTTTAGTAGAGACGGGGTTTCACCATGTTGGTCAGGCTGGTCTAGAAACTCCTGACCTCGTGATCCACCCACCTTGGCCTCCCAAAATGCTGGATTACAGGCGTAAGCCACCGTGCCCAGCGTATCTTCATTCTATTCATCAACTGCTTTTGTCAAGCCGTCATAGCTCTGCCCCTCAGCTTGCTGTGTATATTGGCGGGCGATCAGGTGCTTAGAGCTATTTCTGTAGTCAATGTGCATGTTTAGGGCAGCAGAGCAATCAGCTTGATTCCCTCCGTGACTGACCCTGTACCGGCACTGAGACTGATGAGCCTCATTGGCTCACTTTAAGAATAGCAGGACACTGGCTTTGGCTGCACTGGTCTTTTGGCCCTCGGGAAGTCAGGCAGGTGTTCAAGAAAGGGCACAGCCCCAAAGAATCAGAGCCTGATTCTCCACACAGTGCCCTACACCAGGGTTTGGCAAACAAGGCATGGCCTGGCCAGTCAAATCCAGCCTGCCATTTCTTTGTGTAAATAAAGTTTTATTATAACAGGCACAGTGTTTATTTATGTGTCATCTACAGACGTTCTTGCATTATGAGGGCAGAGCTGAGTAACTTGTAATAGACCATATGACCCACAAAGCCTAAAATCTTTCACAGCAAGTTTGCAGACCCCACCCTAGATGAGTGGACCGCCCATCAGAGCATGGTTTGCACTGGACCAGGAGAGACAAAAAGGCAGCATTTCACAGTCATTTGGGAGTATTTTTGAGACTTAGGGGCCAATTAGGATTTCTGGCTTGGGCAGCACAGCCAGTGATCCAGTTAACTGATAGTAAGTGAAGACAGTACGTTTTAGGGAAGGAGGAAGGACTAAAGAGAGTTTTGTTTTAGATTGGTTTAGTTTGTGGTCTCTGAAACCTCTGGTTTAGGTGCCTGGAAAGCAAGGAAGGAAACGCAGACTTGGAGCTCCCTCCTCTGTTCTCATCATATTTTGTACAATCCGCTCCCAAAATGACTGCTTCCCACTGCAAGGTGGTAGGCTTCAACTGGGAGGGCAGAAATTACATCTTACTAACTTTATGGTTATTCTTCCCTCTGCTAGAACCCCAGGACTCAAAAGAAGCCTTGGCACAGGCGGGGATCTGTTACAGGTAAGAAAAGGAGCAATTTTCAGAGACAGTTTCCATCAGGGAGTTACCTGGGGCACAACTGTGGTGCCTCCCACCAAGGAGCTCCCAAACTCCTTGGGACACAAAACATACAGAGATCTAAAGATGACATCTATTAACCGAGGCATAGAGTCTGTAAGAGCCAAATGAGGGGTGCTGCAGAGGGAGTCATTCCATGTTAAGGCCTGCCAGAGGAAATGGCACTTGACGCCACAGCCTTGAAGAATAAGGGGAGAGAAGGCAGTCATCTCAGTGGTCTTGCAGGAGAGAGAATGGGAATTTGCTTAGCAATGGACCCCAGCCCTTGAACAGAGAACACACCAAACCCAAGCCACAGAAAGCGAACTGGTAGGTAAGTGCTGTTTTCAAAGGCTGCCCACATGGGTTCCCCGCAGGGTGGAGGGCACTGGTTTACATGAGCTGAAGTTTTTCAAACCAGTCTCTCTAGCATAACAGAACTAACAAGAGATGAGTCTTGAAGACAGTGTGGGTACAATGAGGAGAGCCCAGAATGGAGGAAACATTCTTTTTTCATCCAGGGACAAATTTTAGTTCATGATTTAACTCAATGAAGAGAAAAATGTAAATGCATGAGGAAGTCACGAAGCCGTGATTCCTCCTAAGAGATTGTAACCCCTACTGGGGAGTGTAAGTGATCTTGAGGGAGTGGGGGAAGGAAAAATCAGTTCTAAATTATTTTTGAAACAATAAAGATGCCTTCCAGTGGGGGCCTTTTGGAAGGAAGAAAGGGATAGCTATCAAAGCATCAGGTATCCCAGCTGCCGAGTACTGGAGTACTGCGTTCAATTTTTTTTTTTTTTGAGATGGAGTTTCGCTCTTGTTACCCAGGCTGGAGTGCAATGGCGCAATCTCGGCTCACCGCAACCTCCGCCTCCTGGGTTCAGGCAATTCTCCTGCCTCAGCCTCCTGAGTAGCTGGGATTACAGGCACGCGCCACCATGCCCAGCTAATTTTTTGTATTTTTAGTAGAGACGGGGTTTCACCATGTTGACCAGGATGGTCTCAATCTCTTGACCTCGTGATCCGCCCGCCTCGGCCTCCCAAAGTACTGGGATTACAGGCGTGAGCCACCGCGCCTGGCCCTGCGTTAATATTTAGCCTGGCCTTGGAGCTTCTGTGAGAGGCAGTTTTAGAAGAGCTGCAGTCTCTACTTTCCCAGGGCAATCCGGCTGAAGAACCAGCTCTGGAGAGATCTGTGGCTGCTTAACATTTTCAAAGCAGAAAACATAACCCCAAGTGACACTGGCAGGGTTCCTGGGGAGCACTCCGGGTTGGCAGATGCTCCAAGCTCAGCGGGACAATTTTTAACCTGTTCTCCAGCACTCCCTCTCTCTCCCGATCATGCAAAGTCCCAAATCCTAACATTGGCAGGAAGTCTAACTTGAAAAAAATCCCTTCTGTATCCACAGAACGCCATCTCGCAACATTCTGTGGCTCTCGTGTGAGATCTGAGGGTCTAAAAGAACATTCTCCTTCCAAATGAGCAAGAACAGGAAATCCCACACTGTGCCCTTGTCAGCTAAGCTGCTGAGAGGAGACATACAAAACAAATGTTAACAAATGTCTCTTATTTCCTGAGACAAGATTTGTGGAGGTTGGGCTGCAAAACATTTCAATTTAGAAAGCTGAAGAGGGGACAGAAAGGTAAACTTTAAAAGCCAGGTGGTAGGTCCATAAGGACAAGTGATCAGTTAGGAGGACGTTTGGTAAATGAATGAAACAGGAAGAAATCACCCCCACTGTGCTAGAGGATACAGTGTTGCAAGTAACCCTGACCACCTTACAGCTGGGTGTCATGGCCTCCACTGAGAGACAAGGAGTCCAAGACTCAGAGGGCCTTGGGTATGCCTGACCCCACAATGCCCAAGAGCTGGCACTCTAAGCTTCTTGGGTCTCAGCTGCCTTGACGACTTGTGCTTTCTCATCTATACAATGAGGATGGTGTCTAAGATCTCTCTCAACCAACTTACTACTCTTTTTTTTTTTTTGAGACAGTTTCGCTTTTGTTACCCAGGCTGGAGTGCAATGGTGCAATCTCGGCTCACCGCAACCTCCGCCTCCTGGGTTCAGGCAATTCTCCTCCCTCAGCCTCCTGAGTAGCTGGGACTACAGGCATGTGCCACCGTGCCCAGCTAATTTTTCGTATTTTTTTTTAGTAGAGACGGGTTTCACCATGTTGACCAGGATGGTCTCCATCTCTTGACCTCGTGATCCACCCGCCTCGGCCTCCCAGTGCTGAGATTACAGGCTTGAGCCACCGTGCCTGGCCCAACTTTCTACTCTTATACACACTGCCTTGTAATTTACCTGTCCACATGTCTGTCTCCCACACTGGAATGTATTCTGCTTTCATTCATCTTGGTAGAGAGACCAGAGTGCCCACCATATTCATGCTCAGATGGCCAAATGCATGAATGAGTGTCACACCATAAACACAAACACAATGTTTCAAACACAACGCTGAGAAACTTACCTCAGAAAACAAACCAGAAGATATCCCGACATATAACATTATCTATTAAACCCAACCATCCAGCTGGCTACCTACCTCTCCTTATATTCAGCAGTTCTACAATGTGAGCCAGAAACACAAGAATATGGTTGTCACACGCACACAGAGTAGACTAGAGGCCAGGCGCGGTGGCTTACGCCTGTAATCCCAGCGCTTTGGGAGGCCAAGGCGGGTGGATCACGAGGTCAGGAATTCAAGACCAGCCTGTCCAAGAGAGTGAAACCCCGTCTCTACTGAAACTACAAAACTTAGCCAGGAGCAGTGGCGGGCACCTGTAATCCCAGCTACTCGGGAGGCTAAGGCAGGAGAACCGCTTAAACCTGGGAGGCAGAAGTTGCAGTGAGCCGAGATCACGCCTACTGCACTCCAGCCTGGGGGACAGAGCAAGACTCCTTAAAAAAACAAACAAAAAACACAGTAGACTAAGAGGAAAGGTAAAAGGTGGCCCCCCGCCAAAAAGCCCCACACTTCAAACAACCAGAATCAAATGGCAAAATCCTTCCTAAATGCTTTAAAAATAGGATGGGTTTTCCCTATTTTCCTCTTGAAAAATAATTTCTAAAAACAGCTGAGATTAATAATATATAATCTTCCTTTAGTTTACTGCTTAGCTTTCAAAGACAGAAAATCACTTAAGAAACTGAACATAATCCCTTAGTGTGGCACAGGTACATTTCAAGAATTTAAAACAAAAACACTTAAAAACATTTCCCAAAGCGGTGGCGCTGCGGATTACAGAACTCCTGAAAAAGGGACAGAGCAGCGGTCGGAGGTGTTCCGAACCAGACGCGGCATCAGGGAAGCAACCACTCAGGCACACAAGTGGCATTTTGTGATCAAATTTATTTTGTTTAAATTTCATTTACTTTGTTTTACTGTAATTTACACAAGAGACTGCCAAGTAAACTAGGTATTTTACATTCACCACACATTCCCTCAAATCTCCACAGTTGTTAGAAAAACATTAAAATCCATGCGCCGGGCTCTCATTCCCATGTGCGCCTAAGCTCCCAATGATGCTACAGATGCCAGAGTTAAGTTCATTCAAAGGAGAGGGCTAGACTCTTTATTTCACAAAATTAGCAATAATCTTCCTTGCACCAAACTCTTTGCAGACAGTGATTATGCTCTGACAAAACCTATCTTACAACAGTGCCCAGAGAGTAAACATCAGTCTTTATCCTGAGTACACAAAGGCTGTACGAAACGTGGCTTGTTGCTGAGGATAACGGGGAATTGCAATGCAGTAGTGATCCTAAATATCCTTCGTCTCATTCACTCAGCTCACTGCAGTGGGGGAGGGACGAGGGACACGTGGGAAAACAAGAGGCAGGGAGGGCGGGACTGTCAGCAAACCAGATTACTAATGTGATTTGACTGCAGGGGTTGGCGTGTTTTAGGAGGGACGGGAGGTTAAAAAAGACAGTTTGTGACCTGAAGGCTTCAACAATATAATTCTAGTCAAGCTTCCAGGACTGACAGGGGAAAAACTGGATTCAGACAGAGAAAGCTGATAAAAATCTTACCTAGCTATTGTTCCTTCCTTTAAAACAACAACAAAAAACAAGAACAAAAAAGTGGCAGCAGCTTCTGACCAGCATCCTCATGATGCCTGTTCAGGATCTGTTCTGATAACGCCCTACCTGAGAGCACATCCCACAGTTGGAGGTCCACCAGCCTCCTGGCGGAGCCTCCTGACACGCACAGGCCACACTCGCACTGCATCCTCAACTGTTCCTATCTCAAAGTCACCTTCTCCCGCTTGAAGTGTGTGTTTCCACAGTAAGAACAAAATGTCATCACTATCTAAATTCTATCATGTGAGCTCTGAGGAATCTAGACCATTTGCATAGTTTCAAGCTGTAGTTACAGAAAACTGTCATCTTCAAAACAAGACTCCACGAAGTGCTATACTTCCGGCTTTTCTACACAGCCTACAATACTATTAAGACTAATTTCTTCATCAATGTGTCTGCCTAACAGGAGCCTGAAAATTGTCTAGTGTTTATTATAAATCACAAACCGTCATCTCCATTTTTGCTAGGTTTGATGTAGAAAAATATCTAAAATTTAAAATACAAAAATCCAATAAAAACCAGAAATCTTTTAAAAAGGATTTTTCCCTCAGGACAAACAAGTAAAAACTGGCCTGTAACTTTGCTCCTTACTTTATAGATATTGTCAAATTTGGCTACAAGATAATGACCGTCCAGAAATAAATAGTTATAAATACATTCAGAGTTTACATTCCAAATTCATTGGAATACCAAAAAATTTTGAAGAAATTTTCTGTGGGAGTCTACTGCTTATGAGACTAAAATAAAAATTTATAAGAAACTGACTTAAAAGAAGAGAAAAACAACACAAAAGGCTATATATGTTGGTCCACAACTTGACATTTATGAAACATACCAGCTAGTATTACATTGCAGTCAATTTGTCCATTAATGGTATTACTCTGATAATTATTAAAATCTGTTCCAGGTATATATATTGAAAATATTTTCTTTTGCATTCTTGCTGAAGATAGGTACAGTACTTTGGAGAAATTGTACTAATCCCTTCAGTATGTCTGTATGTACATATATACACAAGTGTGTGTATCTGGATCTGTAGCTCTACATGCGGTTTATATACAGCTACAGACATATGCACACATACATATATACACACGTGGTTGAGAACCTGTGCGTGTGTGTGTGACATCACAAGCACGCATCTGGGAAACGTCAACACTGCAAGATACTGGTCAGATTCTTCTTCAGTCATCACTGGCTGCGCTTGTTCCCCTCACTTGACCTTGATTACGTAACTGTAAGAAAAGTGAAAGACAGTGCAAAATGTGTTAAAATACAGAGACACAGAAAATGTTAGACAGCAGCCTGTCACACACACTCTCCAAAAAAAAATTTCTCATCATAGCAAAACTTATGGCAGAAAATGTACCCTAACTACTGCATCTTACAATTCTCATCTGTTCAAAAAGATTTTGGTCTTACTACTAAAGGCACAATATACTGTCTCATCAGAGGGGAAAATAAAGCAGAAATAAATCACAAAAACTTAGGCGAGCTTAACAAAAGTAACAGTAACTTAAAACAATTTTTTAATGAACATGGAATTTAAACAGTGTTTTGGGGGAATCTTGGAAGAGTTATTTCATTCTTATTTGGCACTGGTTTTTCTCACAACTGAACACTTTACTCATCCCGATGTTCAAAAAACTAAAGAGCAGGTAGTTCATGTGGGGCAGAAAAGAACCACAGTGGAGGAGGGGGAGTGTTACATCTCCTTCTTCTTCTCAATCAACACCACAGTTCAATACGAACACATGCTGACAGCACGCTGTCCACTTTTGTTTACTCACACTGGTTTCAATTTGTGAGGTAGATTCTGAGGCTGTTTTTTATGGGGGGGCCTCTCTGGGAAAATCTGTTATATGGGCATATAATGTGTTAGAGATATAAGAGCACAGAAATGTTTTACACCGTAAATTAAAACTCAGGTGCATTTACGCAGAGTACAGCTAACTGTAATGACTGAAGACGAATTATCAAGGAAGACTTTCTGGTGCACAGAAAATACTTCAGCTAAAATGAATTCTTGAGGTTGGCTTGTATGGTATGGGAGAGAGGACCTTTGTTTGATTGTAAGTGCTTTTACATATTTCCTTACTAACCACAAATGGTTCTACAGAGAACCAGGTCAACTGACTCAGTATTGAAAACTCAGCTAGCTTCTAGGACAATGATCCATGAGTGAGTGCACCTGGCAGCTGGGTTCTAACCCACCGAGAACTAACCCGGGATTACTAAATTCAACCTGGTCCACAGGTGAAATTTTTAAAGACTGCTATAGTGTTCACTATGATTTTCTAAAATATTTATCTTTTAAACTCTAAAAATAAAACCACATTTAACACTTAGAGCTTCTGCTCAGCAAGTTAACTGCCCATCACCAAAAAGGTATAGGTTTGTAAACATCTTTTTACCCAGGTCTTCACTTACACAGTTTGATATTGTCTCTGACCCTACAGGGGACTCATCTAGACATCAGCAGCCGACGTGCCTCGGACGGAACCCCTCTTACGCATCTAAACGTAAAATAAAATTGTGAGCTGCTGAAATCAGACTCTAAATAGGGGTTAGTAAGCAAAGGGGGAAAAAAGATCTAGAAGAGATTATGAAGTGATGGCTGACTGTTTATAACCATATCCACATTAGAAGTTCTGAGGCCCCTCAAAGAACCTTGGTTTAAAGACATTCTTGCAAAATGCTTTTTCTTAGCACAAAAAAAAGTGTATTTATCCTAAAATGTAAAAAACAAAAAAGCCTGCAGACTGATATGAAATTATGAAAAACAGCCAGCGGGTAAAGAAATTGTTTTCCAATATAATGTGAGAAAATGCCCCAAGGGTCTGGGCCATATCTTTAGAGTCCCTAGGCCAGGCAGGAAACCATGAGGATGTGGGCCACACTTCTGCTGCTTCTGAGAACAGGGCTTCTCAGTGGAGTCCTTCAAAGGAGGTTTACTGAAAGGAGGGAGAATGAAAGGGAGAAAAAGCAAGCACAATGTATGGCACAAAAACAAGTTATGGCAAACGATGATGTATTAGAAAGGACAGGCATTCATAACAGCCTCCAGACAAGGGAAACAACTCAATGAGAAAACAAAAAACCAAACGAACAAATGCAATAAATACATTAAAACTCAACACATCCTCGCCCTCCCCCCACCCCAAGAAGTGCCAGCTGAGAACAGGTAAAAATGTTAACCGAAAGCCCTCCTTCAGCTGCTGAGCCTCAACCCCGGGCAGTTCCCCGTGGGTCACAGGCAGGGGCATTCCTCGTGTGCCTAACCTCTTAAGATGCTAGTTCTCTCCAGGGCCAAAATCCCTTAGAAAGAAACCCAATTCTTAAAATATCTGCAAATTAAGAGCATTACAACGTTATCAAATTCTATCATCAAGTGTCAGGGGATCAGGACCTCAAGAAAAAAATTCCACTCTAAAATGGAACGCCTCTTCAGAAGGCAGGTGCTTTCTGGGTAGGCGTTCTTGGCCTGCGGGTTTGATACTGCCCAGATTCTGAGGATGCCTTCACAAAGCCACCGTTAGGACTCAAAGCAGCAGCATCTTGATTCTGTGATGTGGAATCAAACTCTCCCCAACGACCTACAGCAAAATTACTTATATGGGATTTAATGTTAAGATGCAGCACTTAATGCTGAAATTTGCCTTAAAATGTTTTTGAGATATCTGACAAAGCAAGTGCTATGTATCTTCACTCTGAACCAATGGTAGATTTTCTACCAGCCTTATGAGGGAATTAATCAGTTTCAGCAATGTGGGTACAAGAATGGTGACAACTGACTAAGGAATTGGGCTTTCGCTTGTCTATCTTACACCTTCTTCTCAAGTGCAATTCCCAACTCACCAATAACTGATCTGCATGGAGCAGCAGCTGCTCCTGCAGGCCCACTGCCATTGGTGAGAGCAAGAGTCACCAGCTCCACGGCAGAAGGTCGCATTATATTGACACTGGGACTATTCTGTGTTCAGGTATCATGCGGCAGAGAACTTGTCAGGGAAGCACGAGCACTTCTGTGGGGGCAGACATCTCAGTCAAGGGGTCCAGAGATAGATTGGGTTCAGAGTCCAAACCAGTTAGGGCTGTATTTATCACTTGGTCAATGGTAACTGCTCTTCCTCATATGACACACCATTCTTCAGCATAACAATTAAAAACTGACAGAAGGGCTCTCTCCCGAGAGTTTGAGCCGTTGGTAAATCCTTGTTGGAAATGCCAGTGCTGCATCGTGAGCTTAGCGTGGATGGGTATTTTGCTGTTTCTGTTTCACGTTCAGTGGACACCCACCAGCTGCTCAGAAAGGCTGAAGAAAGAGCCAGCAGGTATCCCTGGAGCCTGGAGCACTTGGAGGGAGTGAAACCAGGCAAGGCAAATGGGACTAAAATGGGATAGGGTATCAAGGGTCAGGGGTTGCTTGTTAAGAGTCAGGGAAAGGCACCTGACTCTTGAAAAAGGGAACACAGGAATGGGAGAGGCTTGGAAAGAAAGGTAGGAAGTGCCCCTGACCTCCTCTTGCCTATTTAAATATTTTGCCCGTGGCTAGACTAAAATTAAGGGAGGGGGGGCGATCTTCCACTCTTGCCATTTCATCACCCTACTCCCTGTATCCAGAACTCAGAGCCGTAGCATTAGTACAAGAAACTGGGGTCAAAGAGGCTTCTGCTGGCTAGTCTAGAAACCAAACTCTAATTTATAACGTTGTCTCTATGGGAAAATACGTTCCAAATTTCAAACAATCAACTAAAATTCTTTGGAACAAAATGCATTCAAGAGTTGGAGTCTGCCTATAGTTTACTTTATGTGTAAGATAAGGTTAAAATATTTTATTGCCTTATAAAGAAAATATGTCCTAGTCCTCTCCGAAGGTTTACATAAAGCTAATTAGAAGCAGATCTGCTGTAATCACCAAAAGTAAGCAATTTTAAACAGATTCTTTACGATGCTATGTGCCAGAAAAATAGATTTCCTTTTGTGCCAAAGAATCTGATTTGCTGCCATTCTCCTGTGATTAAATGGAGTTTCTGCCTCACGTGCAGGCGTCTGTCAAACGCTCACACCTGCAGGGCTTCCAAAACTGGGCCTGCTGGCAGTACTCGAGATGACCGCATGGAAACCACTAGCGGGCCCTGGACATTCCTTGGGTTTGTTTCACCAAGGGGCCTATTGCCAACTGAAGACAAGCATGGCCCAGGGCAAAAACAAAACCAGACACATGCAAGGGGAAGCCAGAGAAGAATCCATCCCAAGAAGAGAGAAGACGCCCACTGGCTGCAGGCCCTGCCCACTAGTGGTGGGGAGCAGCTGGGATGGGCTGTAGCACCGAACTGTAACATCCTGACCACTTGCCCAAGGATCACCTGAATCTGCCTACAGCTTAGGAAGAAATAAGGATTCACTGCTAGCTGGGGAAGCAGAGGAGGCATTCCAGTACCACCACCATTAGCCTTACCTTTTCTTCAAAAAAAAAAAAGCGAACCAGGACTTAATTGTGCTACATTTGTAAACTTGCTGTGATACAAACAGCCAGAAGCAACTTAGTCTGACAAACTGTCTAAAAGGACTGTGAACCAGGAACCAGCAGAGTGAACTACAGCCAGTGTCTAATAAAGAATACAGAACCACTAGATATTTAACAGGTAACAAATTCTACACTGACAAAACTGTAGTCTACCTTCATGCAAGATGCCCAACAACAGAGAAATCGGCATACGGGAAGGAACAGCAGTAGCTAAGACACTCAATTTTGATGAGAGTAAGTACAACAGGGAATGGCTTTTAATAACACTCTTCCTCATTCTGACTCTGTATTTACCAAGCATGTATACGGTTTTAGGAAAGGGAAAATGAGAGAATTGCCACAGAACAGCCAGTCTTACTGTTTCTAGCTCTTTCTGAGTCTCGTCTTCCATTCTCCTAATGTCTTCCATTGTGAGATCAATCCACTTGTCAATCCAACAAAAAAGCTGGCGATGAAAGTTTGTAAATATCCGTTTTTCTTGCTTTTAAAACAAATCAGAAAAGTAGAATAAGACGGCAAAAACCTAAGATTAATGACACATTAACTTGACATGTTCCAATTAACCCACGAAATTTACGTATTATTTTGTTAAAAAGACTACTCTCTAGATTTGTGGAAATCATAATTCCATTGTATTATCAATGTGTACAGCAAAATTAAAAGAAAACTTTCCCTGTGAAATGGAAAATAATCTCCCCGACAAAGGTGTCATGATCTAGTAGAAACTAAAAAAATGTGGTGTGTATGACCTAATCCAACACATTCCTACTGGGCCTGATTTATTTTTACCTGTTTCTAAATGTCAATGAGCAAAGGTCAACTAGATTTCTTCTGCTATAAAATTATCTATTGTCATTCTTAACATCCCTCCAATTCAGTGGAACCCTGTGAGGTAGCATACAATAATGCACTGAAAGAAGAGTCCTGGGTTTTTTATTAATCATTACAAACTCTCCCTTAATTTTTCTACATAATATGTTGCTGCCACTATTATAAGTATATTTTAAAAACCCTGTATATAATTAGTGGTTGGTTTCAATTGCTGGATTATTTAAGTTTTATTCAACTTTCCCAAGAAGAGAGAAAAGTGCATGGAACAGTAAGTACTTCTGGGCAATCTTCAACTTAAAATTTTTTTTCCATGAAGAGAAAGGACTTCATCAATTACATGTGTGACTTCTATTTATCAGAACTGGACTGTTAATGTATGACTATGATCCAAGAGGAAGGAAGAATGCCAATATTTACAGAATGCCTACTGTAGGCCAACTGTAAGCAGGCCCATGAATAATCAAAGTTTCCAGTACTTTGAGATCCTTGTCTTATAAATACTACAGCAGCTACAGTTTAAAAATAGAAAAGTTATGATGAAACAGACACAACTAATTGTGGAGATGTGAGATATAATGAGGACTTCTTTATAATAACAGAATGAACATTCACCCTACAGGAAAAGTAAATACCAAGGAAACGTTTTAACGTTCCTAGGTAGTAACAAGCGTATACATTTATAAAATTCCAATTCTCCCTTCCTCCTAGATCTAACTGCCCATGTTACTTTCACTTTAATACAGACATAAAAAAAGAAACGAGCGCACCTTAGTTCAGAAAGGACCTCTAAAGAAGATACCCCTGTGAGAGCACAAGGTACACATATATATTCAGAGTGATATGGAGGGCTGGGGGAGGGGTCAGGCTGAGCTGGGGCAGAGGAGCCCTTCAGCAGGCTGCGCCTGCTCTCTCCCTCCAGCCAGGATCAGAACACCAGGTCCTCTTGGGGACATGCTGTACGGTTCCGGAAGGGGCTTTCTACAGAAGTGCTGAGCAGACCATAAGGTAAGCACTTTGAACCAAAAGCTGCTGTGTTCATCCCCAAATAAAGTCCCTTAAAACCTCTGCTGCCATCTGCTTTGCTACTTCGAGGGATACAAAGGGCAGAAATGAAATATGTAGGGACAATAATTTTCAGAATTATAAAGGAGGAAAAAAAGTAACCTCGGAGAAGATATCCCATTAATAGCTAGCTCCGATCTTACCCTAAATCTAAGTCACCAGGGTTTGAACAGATTTTACCTTCTGAATGAAGTTTTCCACTTTGCTTTGCAGTCCCCACCACTTGAATTTGATGGTCACCAACTTATAGGCACACATCTGAGGACAGTCAGGGCTGTTTGCCAGCTCCTTCTAGATGAGAAAAATTGAAAAGAAGTCATGACTTAAAAAAAATATTTACGTTTTCATTAAATTTGACTGTTGTGTAACGACATCACAGACATATATGAAGAAAATTACAATCTCATGTGTTTAATGCAGATATTTGAAAATTTGAAATCATTTTAGCAAAAGCCACAGTATTCCCCTGCTGTAAACCCTCCTTCCACAGACCAAGTTATTTCCTAGCTCTAAAGTTTAATAGGTGTGTTGCTCTGCCTCAAATTGCCCTATTCAGATTTCCTATTAAATACGAAATTCCATTCACATCAAATCAGTAGTGAGCCTTTACTATATAAGGGTTCTCACAATGCCATTACCACACTCCCACCGCGGATGCAGTGAAGCACAATAAAAAATGACAAGCAAGTTCAGCCTTCTTTTGTGTCTTCAGATATTGGCAAGTAGAACCGCACTGTTTATTAACTGAGGTACTTTCAATAGAAGGGGGATATGAAAAGTGATACAACAGCAAAAATGATCTGTAATTACCAAACATTCGGAGGGAAATCCTATACATACAGACGTCAATTTCCAAAAATGACTACACCTCACAGTTTAAATGGTGTAGTCAGGAATCAAATCAAGACTTGTTCTGGTAAACAAGGGAAAAGAAACTTTCTTTTTTTCAAGAGCCGAGAGAGGCTGGGCTTAGTGGCTCATGCCTGTCATCCTAGAGCTTTGGGAGGCTGAGCTGGGAGGATCATCTGAGGCCAGGAGTTGAAGAGCAGCCTGGGTAAGATAGCAAGACCCTATTTCTAAAAAAAAAAATACATAAATAGGCCAGGGACAGTGGCTCACGCCTGTAATCCCAGCACTCTGGGAAGCCAAGGCAGGCAGATGACTTGAGGTCAGGAGTTTGAGACTAGCCTGGCCAACATGGTTAAATCCCATCTCTACAAAAAACAAAAAATTTGCCAGGAGTGCTGGTGGGAGCCTGTAATCCTAGCTACTAGGGAGGCTGAGACAGGAGGATCACTTGAACCCGGAAGTCACAGGTTGCAGTGGGCTGAGATCATACCATTGCCCTCTATCCTGGGCTACAGAGCGAGACTCCATCTCAAAAAACAATAATAAAAATAAATAAACTGGGGTGAAAGGTAGGGCACTGCAACCTATGTGATTACTGATGATTTCTATGAGTCTTAGTGAGGCTTTGCCTTATTTAGTAAGTTTGATATACTAGCATGTTTATTTTTAGGAAGGAGTGAGTGGGGGTGAACCAGGAGCTTGCAGCATACTTCGGTAACTTAAACATATAGGTCCACTTTCAAGGTGATGTGTACAGGAGATCAAAATACTCCTGAGCTGACCCAGAAAAGCCTGGAACAGGTTCACAGCAGTGAGCAAACACAGGCATGGCCCTGTCCTCAGGGGCTCAGTCTACTGCAGAAGGCACAGATCAAAGTACCATGGATAGCAGAGGCAGACCACAAGCACCATCTGGGGAAAGAGCCATTCTGCAAACTTGAAGCCCTAATGTTGGTGTGATTATAAGATGATGGTTTTTTTTGTTTTTAAAGCTACATCTTAGAACTGTTGTGAGGTTATGAGGACTGAGTAAAACAGTGTATGTTCCAGGCTTAGTAGGTGAGACTCAAGGGCTTAATACACATTGGTTCTCTCTCTTTCTCTTGTTCTTTAATAAGTGTTGTATTGACCACCTTTGAATCTGCAAGACAGTTTTAAATAAATTGCCTCATAAGAGTAGAAAGTCAGTGCAACACTGTGGAGACTCTTTTATAAACTCTAAATCACTGAGTCAAAGTCCAAAGCAGCCTCTCCCAAGGACTCTTCCCTTGTCACTGTTGTCCTCGGCTTCACATGGTGGTACCCAGACATCACTGGATCAGTCCCACTGGGTGCCGCCACCATTACTTGTCAGTTTCAACTTACCAGCTTCAACGCATCCCATTTTCAAAAGCTGTGTGTGAGCAAAGACTCTTTCTCCAATCAGCCACATAAATTCAAGATTTTTAAATTAATTTCTAGGTCTTATTCTAAACCTCAAGAAATTATTTTTCCTTGATGTGATTAAAAAGCACCAGACCACATTATTTCCCCCAAATTATCTATGATGGCTCCATTTTAAGTTAATTCTAAGGATATACTATATGAAAAAATTCTCTTAGATTTATGAATGGGACTAAACGTTCTGTAGAGTCCTACATGATTGATCAGCTTTTCTCAAGACGTCTGTTCTGCAATGACATTTCATCTTCTGAAGAATAACCTGATCCATGGGCTAAATCAATGAGGTAACACCAGTAAGCCATTAAATAAAAATATTACCGCGAACTGTCCTCTTGCAGCGAGCTGTTAACAAAATAACTTGGGTAGCTTAGCTCTGTTTTTCCAAGACTTGCCCCCTCATAAAATGGAGTAGCAATGTGAAAATCAGGATGTATGTGTATGTGCACACACACACCACTCATACTTTAGTAATATAATTCAGCAAGTATTAAGTGGGCACCATTTACCCTTTACTCTGTGCTAGGTGCTGTCAGGGGACATAAATGTAGCTGGTAGAGAAGAGGATAATTAAGTAAATAATGCTGCCCGTGGTGTCAATGTTTTCTTCCAGGAAATACCTTCCTATTGAGGATGCTGGCCCTGTGCTAAAATCAAATAATTGCACACTACTCCCCTTGCTCTGCAGGCCCCTGGCACTTATGCTGGGCTCCTGGGTGCAGAAGCAGTCAACAACCCTTCCCTAAGACACAGCTAGCTTCTAAGTACTCAGCTTTATTGAAATGACAAAGAAGTTGGTCTTTCACAGATCATTTGATCAATAACCAACGAGCCAATGCTGAAGTACTTTCTAATCCAATGAACGTGACTGGAAATCCTCATATGCGATACAATTTAGGTATATGTAGAATACGGCACTTAGTTTTGAGATATACCTGCCAAACAGTAGCATTAGACTAGGAGTAAGGGGACTCGGGTTGCAGTTCCTATTACGCAAGGTAACCCTGTTTATCATAGGGTAGGATCCTTAACTTCTCTCTGGGCCTTGTTTCTCCATCTAACAGGAAAAACTAGACTCTATCAGAACTCTTCATTCTCCACTGAGGGAAAATTAAAAGCAGGGGTGAGCGAATTAAGGTTCTTGAGGGCCAGGATTGGTCTAGGGGTGTAGGTGGTAAATATCACACATTCTTGACATCCAATGGCTTGTCCTAAAACTTCCTATAATTTTGTGTTTTATTCTATAATATGCCTGGGCTTCAGAAAATATTCCCCTGCCTGCCACCCACCCATAGTGAATTTCCTCTATGGCTGAGTACTCCACACCAAAGTGCTGATGAACTCTAAGATACTTTCCAGATCGAACATGAGAAGGTCCTATTAATTATGAGCTGCTGAAAGCTTTCTTATACAACTTCAAATCAGTGGACACCTTACACCAAATGAAAATCTTGGATGTACCTAGTAGAACATTGATGCTTCAGAATTCTCCAGCAATTTTATAAAAACAATGGGATGAAGCATGGTTCTAATTAAAGGAGTAAGCTAAATGTAATACAAAAATGCCAATACTAAACTTGAGCTCCCAGAACAGAGTACACATAAGTGACTTCAACAATTAGCCAAGTTTATTTCTCACATTCTTTCTAGTGACTCTGGCAAGATGCTCAAATCAATTAATACTGGTAATCTGTAAAGTTAACATTGGTCTATCAAATTCATTTTAGAAACTATAAGCCATGGGACAAAAAGGAATCAGTTCCTATCTTTTCAGATTGAAAATGTATATTCAATCCCAATCTGGTTTTTGTTTTCCATCCAATTTACAAGTAATTACTTTTTAAAAAACCCTTCAGAGAAGAACATGTACTCAACTTAAAAATCAAACAACAGTCTGCTGCCTAAAAACATAAATATTACCAGAAGAAAGTTGAGAACACAAAAGCTATATACTTTTTTCAATTATCATTAACATACACATTATATTTAAAAGTTCTCATACAATTCTCAAAATGATTTGTGAGAGTCATCTCTTAAATGTGAGCTACAGTTTTTTAAAGTACTGGTTAAATTAAGAATATGGCTTTGAAAGTCTCCATACTTATGACGACACAGAAAACAGTGAAAATGTCCAAATGTTGTACATTAAACCTAAAAGAATCCTTTTGGTATCATCTCTCTCGAGTGAAATCTGACACTAGGTAATAAACAGTCGTAAAAGCTGTTCATATCCTACCCTGTACCCTTTAGCCTGGTGATTCCACTTTCAGAAACATATCCTATTAATCAAGTAAAGAAATAATACCACAGATTTATTTATTAACAGCAAAACTCTGGACTTATTAACTTCAATACCCACTATAGGAGAGGGGTGAAATACTTCAAAGGCCTTCAAAAAAATGGGCTACTATGCATACAGCCATTAAAAAACATTTTTTCCAGCCGTAATCCTTATAATCCCAGCATTTCCAGAGGCTGAGGCAGGTGGATCACTTGAGGTCAGGAATTTGAAGTCAGCCTGGCCAACATGGTTAAACCCCGTCTCTACAAAAAATACAAAAGTTAGCTGGGCATGGTGGCAGGCGCCTGTAATCCCAGCTACTCAGGAGGCTGAGACTAGAGAATCGTTTGCACCCAGGAGGCAGAGGTTGCAGTGACCAGACTTCATGCCATTGCACTCCAGCCTGGGTGACAAGAGCAAAAACTCTACCTCAAAATAAAAAAAAAATTCAAAAAACAGTCAACAATGTGGGAGGAAAACAAGAATAATTAATTTAAATAGGTATCTATGTATGGTATAAACATTCCTAACAAAATAAACTACAGGAATAAAAAAAATACCGAATAATAGTAATTAAATGAGACTACAATTTTTATTTTCTTTTCTGTCAAATTATTTTCAAAATTATCATTTTACAATTAAAAAAAACCTAATATGGTTAAAGACAAATTGACTCTACAAAAGCTTTTTTGCCCTCAGCAAGAGAATTTTAGGACAAAGA